CTAGCTGCAGGCTTGTGTGTGTGTAGGGGTCAAGATGTGAGGTGTTGTTGCTTGATTGAACAATAGAGTTTGGCATTTAGACAGAAATTGCACCCTTTAAATGGCTAAAATGAAGGGGAAAAAACACTAAGTCTTTGTGTTCTTAGGACCAGCATTTAGAATCACAGCTTTAGGCTATATTTAACAGAATATTACCCTCAGGAACATTTAGTAATCCACTTGAAAAAAGAAAACACTTCCTCAGGCGGCAATCCACTTTTACTGATCACCTGCTGTGTTGTCAAATAGCCCCAGCCTGCAGTTACTCTTCCTTAAACGAAGAGGTGTCATGGAAAATATTGTTTTCAAGACCGAGGAGCTTTTCTCCACTTCCATTTCATTTGACAAAGTGCATTGTAATCACCTTTATGAAATGTGTCTCCAGCACGTATATGAAAACATCAGTAGATAATTTGAACACTTTGCTTTTTTCCCCTCCGGTCTGAAATTTGGTTGTTTTCTCTGGCCTTCAACTATCTATTATCAGGAGATATGTTTACCCTGTAGGAGAGAATTGATGTTCGCCTTGAAGCTTAGAATACATTTTTATTGTCTGCTGGAGCCTTTATTACACATGACAAAATATACACATCAGTGATGTTTACTGCTGTGTAATGACGAGCTGAGGAAGGCTTACACCCAAAACATACTCCTGTGATGAAAAGCATTTCTCTCTTAACCCCTTAAGCTGCAAAATATCAGCATTAACCACATTTTTCCTCCATCTAAATGATGCCCAAAGTTGAAATGTAAGCATTTTCTTGGATTATTTTTCCCTATGAAAGGCTGACTGTTATTTTTTCAGTGCTGCACATTCCCACATCCACGTTCATACACATCAGGGAGCTGCACTGTGCAACCACAATCTCTTGTTTATCATGTGGAGATTTGCCTCTGGTGCTTGCCAATAGTCTATTCAGCATCAAGACTAAATTATAACAAATTATGCACCAGTTCTGCAGTCAGTGTCTGGAGTCAAGCCTCTAAATTAATGTTCTGCTTTTGGGCGTACATCTAATCATGTGTTAAGTAAATAGCCTCTTCTGACCAGGTTTACACCACGCTTCAATTGACGCTTTTTTAAATTCACTCTGTGTCTCATCTGTGTTAGAGAAATGTTAATGTAAACACAATACAATGTTTGTTTGTTCTGACCTCACTCAGACGCAGTCAGGTGTTACTGCAATGTACACAGAGGATTGACCTTCTCCACATTTAAGACTAGACTTAAGACTTTCCTCTAAATAAAGCTTATTAGTTAGGGCTGGCTCAGGCTTGCCCTGTACCAGCCCCTAGTTAGGCTGACTTAGGCCTAGTCTGCCGGAGGACCCCCCTATAATACACCGGGCACCTTCTCTCCTTCTCTCTCTCTCTCTCGTATTCTATTACTGCATCTTGCTAACTCGGCCATTCTGGATGTCACTAACTCGGCTTCTTCTCCGGAGCCTTTGTGCTCCACTGTCTCTCAGATTAACTCATACCGCAGCGGTGCCTGGACAGCGTGACGTGTGTGGTTGTGCTGCTGCCGTGGTCCTGCCAGATGCCTCCTGCTGCTGCTGCCATCATTAGTCATTAGTCATACTTCTACTGTTATTATACACATATGACTATTGTCACACATGTATACTATCAGATATTAATACATACTTTCAACATATTGTACCACAGTAGCCAGAACTATAACTATAATATTATTACTTTCAATAATGTTGTTGTAAGCTACTGTCATTACCTGCATCTCTCTCTCTCTCTCTCTCTCTCTCTCTCTCTCTCTCTCTCTCTCTCTGTCTCATTGTGTCATATGGATTACTGTTAATTTATTATGCTGATCTGTTCTGTACGACATCTATTGCACGTCTGTCCGTCCTGGAAGAGGGATCCCTCCTCAGTTGCTCTTCCTGAGGTTTCTACCGTTTTTTTTTTCCCGTTAAAGGGTTTTTTTTGGGGAGTTTTTCCTTATCCGCTGCGAGGGTCATAAGGACAGAGGGATGTCGTATGCTGTAAAGCCCTGTGAGGCAAATTGTGATTTGTGATATTGGGCTTTATAAATAAAATTGATTGATTGACCTTATAGAGAGAATATCCTCCTGTAAGATATAAGGTCTCATTTACATCTGATGCCAAAGAAACAATCTGTTTAAATCTCAATATGTCATGTGGATTATGGCCTTATATTTACATCATGTTTACATAACTGTTAGGTGTTACCTGCCCTCTGTTTGCATCATGGTAGGAGATTTCATAAGTAGTTGGCGTCAACAACATCAGATGTCGGCTCCTGTTTTCAGCTCATAATACCTTCTGCACAGATTACATTTACACCTGTCTGAGATTCAGGCAACGCTATTATTATGTTCTAATTACAACACGTGCTGTTACATTAACATGCAAAATTTAATATGTTCCTCAGATGTTAATACCAGGCTTCAAATTGTTTCCATGTGGTTAATTTTATATTTCAGGTGTCTGCTTGTTAGCAGTTGTAACAAGCTGTTAACACAGCATCTTATCATGTACAGCAATTTTGTCAGTATATGTTAGTCATATGAAATTGTTGGTTCTGATAATATGAGAAATTCCTTTGACGCAGAAAGGACTTTTTTTTAAAAAATACAGGTGCTTTGTCACAACCCTCAGCATCTGACAGCAGCTCACCCGGGCACCCTGTAGTGTATCTATCTGACACACAGCTGAAACATGAGTGGTTAATGTTGTGAAACTGTCATGGTTAGGTTCATGCAACAAAACGAAATGAAAAAAAGATAACGTTTAGGATTAAAACAGGCACATAATGTGACGTAAATATGTAACATAGGTAATGTCAGTGCACGATGACCATACGTAAATTACACAATGCTACGTTTAACCAACTGCAGTCTCCTCAGTGAAAGCCTGGTTTTGTTTGACCTATCCACCTCCTGCTTCTCGCCCTACACAGACTTTCTCACTATGATTACGAGATTTGTGCTATTTTCCAGCGACCTCTTTACTTACACTCACCAGCCACTTTATTAGGTACACCTTGCTAGTACCAGGTTGGACCCCTTTTGCCTTCAGAACTGCCTTAATTGTCATTCCGTTACACCACATTCCAAAGGTGCTCTATTGGATTGAGATCTGGTGACTGTGGAGGCCATTGGAGTACAGTGAACTCATCGTCATGTTCAAGAAACCGATGCAAGGCAGGATGGATCCATGCTTTCATGATGTTGACACCAAATTCTGACCCTACCATGTGAATGTCACAGCAGAAATCCAGACTCATCAGACCAGGCAACGTTTTCCAATCTTCTATTGTCCAGTTTTGGTGAGCCTGTGTGAATTGCAGCCTCAGTTTCCTGTTGTTAGCTGACAGGAGTGGCACCTGGTGTGGTCTTCTGCTGCTGTAGCCCATCTGCTTCAAGGTTGGACGTGTTGTTGGTTCAGAGATGGTCTTATGCAGACCTTGGTTGTAACCAGCGGTTATTTGACTTCCTGTTGTCTTTCTTTCATCTTGAACCAGTCTGGCCATTCTCCTCTGACCTCTGGCATCAACAAGGTATTTTCACCCAGAGAACTGCTGCTCACTGGATATTTTCTCTTTGTCGGACCATCCTCTGTAAACCCTAGAGATGGTTGTGTGTGAAAATCCCAGTACATCAGCAGTTTCTGAAATACTCTCCAGCTTCACTTCAGCAGGTCGTCTTGACCATGTCTAAATGCTTAAATGCATTGAGTTGCTGCCACATGATTGGCTAATTAGCGATGTATACTGCAATGGGAGACTTTACAAAGAATGGATTGTGGCCATGAATCACGTGTGACTTGCAACTGCCATTTGCCCCGTCTCAAGGTCCGATTCACAATAGATACTACGCTAATGATATTACAGCGCAAACACATCAGTTTTTGCAACTCCAATTTGCCTGTTTTTTCATCTGAGTGCAATTGTTGGGGCATAATGGGGGCATATGGGGCATAAATGTTGCCTTTGCGGCCAGAGCACAGTAGGTAGTACAAAGGCAGAGAAAGAAATAACTGACTTTCAGAGCAGGAGCTACAGGTCCTGACCGTCAAGATGAAGAGGTATTCCTTAAAACTTCAGGCAAAGAATTTAAACCTGACAAAGAGAAACCTTGTGTGGGTCAGTGCTGTGTGTGACAGCCCTCATAAATGTGCTTCAGTTACCACCAACTCTGTTAAGACACTAATATTTAACTGTTACTGTGTTGCTATCACTGCTGATCTCTGTGAATCATACTGATTTTGCAGTGAGACTCATTTGCATAGAAAATTTTGCGCCAAATGTCAGCATATTACCTTATTTAAATACATGCAGATAGCACTGGAGCACCGAGATGAGTTTTACTCAGCAGCTCAGTTAGGGGTGTATTTCACTCAATCTCTGCGGGAGCTTTGAGAATTACACAATTTCCTTTTGTCTTATTTGTGCAGGTTTGGCGGCCACAAAAGCTGCACGGTTGTTTTATGAATTCACCCACAAAAGTGTGCACCAAAACTAAAACACAATGCGGGCAGAAAACAGACCATAATAATGCATAATGTAAAAAATATTACGGCGTAATTGGGTCATTCATTATCCAGACAGCATATGCAGACAACAGATTTTGAATGCTCTGTATGAATGAGGTCCCAGATATGCAGAGGAGCTCATTATGTGCAGGTCTCTCCCTTTCTCGAGACCAGTGCTCAGTTTTCACCTCACTTGACACACACGCTGCACAGCACCACCGTAACTGATGAATTGTTCAGCATCACATTAAAAGAAGAAGCTGATGAGGGAGTCCTTATTTTGAATTTCTCCCAATAGGATTTTTGTCTTTTGATTCTCCCAAGTTAAGGTTGGGACCCTGCATCAGATAATCTCAGAGTCTGGAAAGAAGATCAGCACTGGTTAAAAATGGCTAACATGAACACTGATGCTAACCACTCTTCTTCTTCTTCTTCTTCTGTATGTTTAGCAACTGCTGAGAATGAGGGACGAGTTGAAAGAGCGAGAAGCAGAGCTCGAGAAGAGTATAGAAGACAAACAGCAGCTGAAGAACCAAATCCATGACCTCAAGTCGGGGCTGCACAACCTGCAGATATCAAACACGTCACAGGTCATAAGAAAACACACAAACATATACTAGATCAACTGTTGTGTTCATGTGTGTCTGTAAATGGTAATATTAAATCTTAAAAGAAACAGGTCTCATTTGTGGTCTAGTTAGAAAGAAATTACTTCATAATGAGTTTCAGTGCATGACGAATATTGCATATTGGGAAAATTATTTATCACACCACTGGCTTCATTTTACTGAAGATTGTTGTGCATTTTAAGTGGTGTCTAATGATTTGTCCCAGAACAGTGGATGAAAGATGGAAGTTTCCCCTAAAGGCACAGATAAGCAGAAGTAATCAACATCTTTGGTATTAACCATGACTGCAAATAGAAAATAGAAAAAGGCAGATCATCTGAAGAATTTTGAAAGACCAGGTCACTATAATTTAACCAATAATTTAAGATTAAGGCCTGAAAATAAGAGAGCCATGCCTCAGGGTTCATATATATGCACATGTGAAGTAACCAGGTTACTTCACATGTGCATATATATGCACATGTGAAGTAACCAGGTTACTTCACATGTGCATATATATGAACATGTGAAGTAACCAGGTTGCTACAGTGCGTATAGTAAGCTGCTCTCTGTGAGGCCTTTTTTTCAAACTTTATTCAAGAGCGTAGTTTTTCGATTTAAGGGCATAACTCATTGATTTCATGTGAAGATTTTGTAATGCTTTCCCTTAAAACCCTGCCCCTGCACTCAGATAGCCTCTGCTTGCACATAGATTTGCTCTGCTTCAGCTCACACTAAATGCTTTTCATTCATATACCTTGTTGCTTGCACAGATTTCCTGTGCTCCAGCTTCCACCCTTCTCCTCGTACTCACGTAACTACTGTGCAATTGTGGAACGTCTGCTCTCAGATTTTTTGTGCAATAACCCTGTCACAATTTGCCAACCAAGAGAATGCTGCTTGCTTAATAGGCTTAACTGGGTTCACCAGGTTAATTGCGACACCTGATATTCTGTTGGTTTGGGGGATTTTGACAGGATTATCATACAAAAATCTGAAACCCGATGTTTTAAAAGTGCACAGAAGCAGTGTGAGTGTGCGGAAAAGGTCCAAAGCTGGAGCGCAGAAAATCAAATAGCAATATTTTTAAATGAAAGCTTACCGTTTGAGCAGAGGCAGAGCAAATCTAAGGGCATGCAAGGGCTATTTAAGTGCGAGAGCAGGGTTTCAGTGGAAAACATTACAAAATCTGAATCTGAAATCAAGAAGTTGTGCTCTTAAATTGAAAGACCAAACCCTTGAATTAAGGGTGCTTTCACACCTGCCCTGTTTGGTTTGGTTCAATCATACTCAATTTCGTTTGCCCCTTAAGTGCAGTTTGTTTGGGCGGATGTGAACACAGCAATCGCACTCAGGTACACACCAAAACAACCGGACCGAGACCACCTCTTCAAGAAGGTCTTGGTCCAGTGCGGTTCATTTGTGGTGAGAACGTGTTCTGACCGCAATCCAAACCCTCTGCAGTCGCATTATGCATTGGGTTATACAAGCACATCCAATGCATCAAAACATTGTTTTCTAGTTGGAGCCGCGCCTCGTTTTCAAACTGTGTGGTTTGACTAAAATGAACAATGACAGCAATATAGTCCACGATGAGCAGCGCTAAAATCAACCTGCGTAGTTGTCCCTCCATTGTGACATTAGAAAGTGTCACATTTATCTAACAAGTGTACTCTTCTTCAATGTTTTGTTTACTTCCTGGATTTTTCCCGCATGGAAATTCTGACCAATCAAGAGCAGCTTTCTCTCACAAGGCATTTGACCTGGACCGCTTGTAAACGCTGCCATAAGAACACAAACCATCTCTTGGCAATTATGCAGCTTTGTAACAAAATTAGTCCCTGATTCAGACCAAAGGAGACAACTCTAGGTCTGAAAGCATCCTAAAATAGACAAAAGTCCCATAGTTCTGAAACCTGGTTACTTAAGTGCATGTAAACACAATACATGAGATATATTAGATAAAATTACAAAGAGTGACTCATGATTACATGCTGCATCACTTCTTGTGAATCTCTTGTGTATGTGAAGGCAATTTAAATCTTTGTTTGGAATGGCGGACCCCGCCACTAACAATGAAAACTAGCACAGACCGTTTCAAATTTGACAACATAAAGGTTCCGAAGGGGTCCGAGTGTATGTCCTGTTGGAATGTGTAAATGACAGGAAGTAAACAGGACCCAAAGCAGTTGCCATAGCAACAGGATACCAATGAAACGCTCTCTAGAGAGGTAATTTTAGAATTTAAATACATTGAGTTGCTATTAATGGAAAAATGCAGATTGAATTAGTTACAAAATGGGTTTCATTTCATGTATATCTTAAGGGTTATAAATTAACATGCCTGAAATATTAAACGGGAATTACACTCAATTTAAAAAGTCTTAATGTTTAAAGATAAATTTCCACTGGTTATATTTTGCACTTTGAGATTACTCTCCCAGTTTCTCAGACTCAAATCAAGATACAGCCTGTGACTGTTCCCCGTGTGGCAGCAGGGGTTTGAAATCCTTGAATGAACTTTTACACCCAAATGAGATTTATTTTACAGTATGTAGCTCTGAAGCGGAAAATGTTTGCATATCTTTGGAAAATTACCCCGGGTGCATTCATTTCCATCACTGCCATGTCTTCCATTTCATTCTTGTGACACTGAATGTTGATGTTACATCATAAAATAGAAGATTGATTTTTTTACAGAGCAGCAGGTAACTGAATGGGGAAATAAAGAGTGTGTCATCTCCTTTGTTCACCATCAAGGTGCCCTTGAGTAGGGGACAGAAGTGATGAACACTTGTAATGAGGCTGTTTCTAGGCTGACAGGAGAAGTCTCTGATAATACAGAGCGACTCAACTGTACTGTTTGTAAGCCTGGGAAGCACTTTGTTGCTGTGTACGAACTGTCCTTGAAATTTAGCACATACTGAGGCTGTAAAGGGACCAAACTGTCCTGAACAGTACAGTAAAAAAAAAAAAAAAAACTAAAATTCTCTTCTTTTCTAGCCCACATTTTTCAAAACACTACAGAGATGTTTTATTGTAGATCACCTGTTGACATACAACAAAGATCTTATTGGAGTGCAGGTGTGCTCCACCGCCTCTTATGTCTTTATTTCTGGCTGGCCTATTTCGGCTCAGCATGGTTACAGGAAAGAAGGCGAACATGAGATTGAGCTTCAAGTTTAATCAGCTATGTAACTGGATAATGATAATGCTGAAATGGTACTGTCAAGTGGTGCCTGATGGCTTTCTGTCTGCTCTCCTGTCGACTTTTTGATCCACAGAGCTGCTCAAGTTTGTTTTCTGTGAGCTGATGGAAGGTCACTCAGTTACAAATATTCAAACTATGTGAATTAGCTTTACTCTTCTCTACATGCCCTGCCCTCTCAGGCTTCACTTAGACAGGTGTATATACAATAAGGTGCTGTAATACCCAATAAAGGATCAAGGAACCTGCCACTTGGCTCTCCAGTGACCAAAATGTTCCTCTAGAGGAGCAGAGTCTCTAAACTGGGAGGGACAGGTTCATGGCTTTTTACATTCCACTGAATCTTAACCAGGTGGAGCAGGGGTAAGCACTGTCGCCGCAAAGCAAGAAGTTTTGGAGTTCAAACCCACTGGCTAACTTGGGCCCTTGCATGTTCTCCTAGTGTAGCCCTCTGGGTTCCATGGCGTCGTCCAACAGTCCAAAAACATGCAGATTAGGTTAACTGGGGTCTCGAAATTACTGCAGATTCGCATGTGAGCATTAATTGTTTTCTGTCTCAATGTTTCAGCCTTGTTACAATATGGTGACCTGTTCATGGCCCTTTGTAACCCTGTAAAGGATAAACAATTATAGATAATTGATGGATGAGTGTTTGCCAGGTTGAGAGGGATTAATCTGTCATTATTGTAGATAAACAAGCGCTTCCTATCCACTACTGTATTTCCCCTTTTTATGCCTCAGCGCCGGTGATAGCTGTAGCCTGAGGCATTATGTTTTACGGATTGTCCGTCCATCTGTCCCATTCTTCTGAACGTGGTATCTCAAGAACGCCTCGAGTGAATTTCTTCATGCTTGACACAAACATCCACTTGGACTCAAGAATAAACTGATTAGAATTTGGTGATCAAAGTCCAAGGTCACTGTGACCTTACAAAACATATTTTTTGCCAAGTATTCCCACGCTAATTATGACAAAACTTCACACAAATGTCACACAATAACAAGATAAAATGATGAAGTGATGACATTTTATATCCAAAAGGTCAAAGGCCAGCTTCACCTGACATCATAATGTTCTGCATGAAACACTTTACTAGCCATTACTCTGCATCATATCTCAAGAACAGAGGGAGAGACATTTGGTCAGATACTGAATTGGTGGCACTAATCTTGAAACTGTGCTGGCTGTAAAGATCTTCTGTGCTGCTGGGGGAAGATGTTTGACATGTGTGAAGCATTCATGTTGTCACAGACATGGATATAAACTGTTAGAGAAACGTGACTGGTGCACGGAAGCATACAGCCAGGGGCTGGTAATTCTAGTTTTCATTATTTAAGCAATATTTCAGTGATGCATTGTTGCCTCACAGCAAGAGGATTCCTGGTTCGATCTCCAGGGTGCAGAGTTTGCATATTCTCCCTGTGTCAGCGTGGGTTTTCTCTGGATACTCTGGCTTCCTCCCACAGTCCAAAGACATGCAGGTTAGCTTAATTGGTGACCCTAAATTGACCTTAGGTGTGAGTGTGAATGGTTGTCTGCCTCTATGTGCGATAGTCTGTTGATTTGTCCAGGGTGTACCCTGCCTGTCAGCAGCCCCCCAGCAACCCCTAACAAAATAAGTTGTTACAGAAAATGATTGAATGAATTTTTGTAATGCTTTAATTCACCAATCCATAATTTTCTAATATTTTGTTTTTGAAAAGAACTATTCTTTTGATGCTAAAAACGTCAGCTGAACATTCAAGATTATGAAATTTGTCTGTTCAACATGCT